TATCCGCTTTACAATTACAAAGTGACAGCTGTGAAAATGTATCAAAATATTGGCTCCTTTTCCTTTCATACTGTCTTGAAGGGAACACTGTGATAAATTTAATTCTGTTTAAAATAGAAGAGCTCTGGGCTGTGTTTTTCCTGAAACTGGCACTTGGTATTTTTTGACTCTTCAAAATGTTTGTTTCACTCACAAATGCCTGGCAGAAACAAACCTGCACATTGATGCTTACTCTGTAATATAGCAAGACTCTTACTTCCCAATATCTAAAAATACTCATGCAAATATATCACAATTTGTTGGCTAATAATTGCATTTTAAAATTAATTCCATATATGAGACACTGATCATGCTTTCACATCATGATTTGGTCAAAATACAAATCTTAAAGGTGAAGAACAGCTCCAGCATCTTTATGCTGAGTGAGAGACAGCTCTACAGAGCTCAATTCCAAAGGAAAAAAAAATTGTCAATGCAGAAAGTGAAATACAGCTGCTGTGAAGCAGTAAATCCATTGCACCTCTGTGAGTTGTAAGTCATAGGCAACATGTAAGCTCATGACTGCTTCTAATTAACAGCCTTTTCTGTACTGAAGGAATCTCGATATTTACAAGTGATCATTAAACATTTTAGACCTCTTTCTTAGTAAACCCTCTTTTGTGAGTTAATAACCACAACCTTTGAATAACCCAGGGAAATACCACAGAGGGTGGCTCCCCCAGCGTGCCCATAAAGAATATTTTGCACATGAAATACAGGAAACAAAGCAAGAAGCAGGATAGTAAACACCCAAATCTTGCCCTGCTGATACATGGCTGAGCTATCTGCTCTAGCACAGGAAGACCCTTCAGTAACGAAAACACATCTCAGCTTTCCTCACGCGTCTCCAGTGCACTCAGTCGAGGGTAGAATAGCCCAAGGGAGTTCTGTAGCTTCAGCCAGAGGACTAACAGCAGATCCTTAGGCATGATTGTGCTCAAGCCAGGCTTTGTGCAGGATGGGACTGAGGCTGTGTCTTGACAGGCAACAACTAAATGTCTGCAGGATCAGAGCTTTGGACTTCAAATTAGAGTGAAGAACAGCAGCATTTAACTAAATATATCTACTGGTTTCTGCAAGAAGCCACGACACTGAGAAGTCAATCAAAGTCAATGGATAAAACAATAAAGAAAGGAAAAAAAATGGAGGTCACACAAAATCAAATCCTGCCTTAACACACACAATTCTCACTGAAGTTTATGGGACATGAGGACACAGCAGTGAGACAGAACTCAATCTACTGCTGTTGGCTCTGTACAACTTCAAATAAACGAATCACAGCAATTATTAATAAACTGATATATACTTTATTATGCACAAGAGACGAAGATGACATGATACTGTGGTTATCAAAACTGTACAACTATGCATTTCCACGAGCCACTGAAATACTGAACGTAATATGAAATACAAATGGGGTGTTCAGACTGGCCACAGGTATTAGCAAGTAAATTTCTACCATTCTTTGATTTAAAAAAACATCTGGCATTTGGATTTTAAAGAAATGTACTTATTTATTCCAAGGTGAGAATATTGTGTTTGGAACTGGTAGAAACATGGTAGCAAAGATCTGGTAACACTATGAACATCCCCACCAAATGACAACAACAGGGCAGAACAGTCACCTCCCATGAAGGGCTGTTAGCACAACCAACAGTAGAGTCTTCTTGTGAAGCATGAGGTAGATATACATAACAGAAAGAATGGTACGTACAGGAGAGAAATGGTTAGAAAAGGGTAGGGGGAAGGTTACAATCATCAGCATCTACAGACATTTTGCAAAATCAATTTCCACGTGAAAAATGCTACAAAAATAGCCTAACACAAACATCCGACTTTTTGAAACATGAATATAGTAATGTCCAAAACCAAATGCTGTAAAAGTTTAGAGTTAGTGATTAGACAACGCATGACACAACGAGAAGTCTACTTTGGAGTTTAAGTACGTTACTAATAGCCGTTACAGACAGAAGGTGTCCCTTTTAAGCCCAATCCTCCTGTTCTTATTTAAGAAGTTCCTTCGCAGTCGATTCCATCATGCTGACACATGTACAACCCCCTCCATCCCTCTGAAGCCCTGCTTTAAAGCTCTCTGCTGGGACAGGAGCATCTTCGCTGGCCCACCACACCCTGCGGATATCTGCCACGTGAAGTCCAGCATGGCAAGACCAGGTTTGACAGAGACGGGAACCAGCGGCTTTGCAGTTACACATTCGGGAGCTTGTCATGCCACACACAGAAATTGGCAGTAGAGACAAATGGCTGCTATAAAAGTAGAGCTTATCGGTGTATCAGTACTCCGAACTGCAGGCAGCTTAACAGCTGCTGGAAGGTACTATACATTTTTGTAATAAAGCTATTAATTGGGAATGCCCGGGTTTGGTTCTCTCTCTCTTTCTCTCTCTCCTTATTGAAGCAGAAATAGCTGTTCCATCTAAATAATTACATGGAGTGTTGGTAACCTCCAACAGACAATTAATTCAGATGGATTAAGATTTCTGAATTAAATAGCTGAGTACACCAAGTTCAGTTAATTTAAACTGTATTTCAAATACAAATCAAATCTTTGATCTTTAGATATTTTTGGTTTATCCAACGGTAAATATAAATCTGTAAATTACTTTAAAATTAGAGTAAATTTTTGATAAAAACATTGATAATGCAGCATGTTTCTCTCAAAAATATACAATTATCTATTTTACATAAAAGTTTTCAACCTGTCCATCCCAACAACCAAATCTAATACCTTCTATGAGAAACTACTTAATAAAATATCTGAGGAAGGAAAGGGTTAAAACAGGGGAAAGGCTTTACAAAATATGTAAATTTCACAGTAATTGAAATTAAACATTTCATATAGAGTAACTTACATTTATCTAAAACATTTAAATATATCTTTATACAGAAATTTAATGTAGTAAAATATAGCTATGATTGAACTTAAAGACTCTAGTCTTCTTTGAAGACATCTTTAAAGGCTTTACACATAGAATATGCTTATACAATACATTCTGCTGAAGGTTAGGGCAAAGCGCTTTCTTTTCAACCACACAGGTAGCACATTCATCCTCCCGACACCTCATAACAGAGCCAGTCCTGCATACCCGTACACATGGGGATAACTACGCTTACGTGACAATCCTGTTGATGTTACCAGGACCACTGATTGGCCTGGTAACATAAAACACTCTTCGTACGTGTAACTCTATACGTCGGCTGTCTGCACAGACTCTGAGAACAGCCAAGCACGTGCTTGTACTAGCAAGGATGAGGCACGTAGTTACTCATATGCATAAACGTTTGCAGGATTAGCAACAGATTTGATTTAAAGTGAGTAATATTCCACCGATCCTGGGCACTTGCATCTATTGCATATCTTGCACTTTGACCATCCTGCCATCAGTAAGGCACAAGTGTAGAATCAGCAAAAGAAATCTGCAGCTCAGACTTCAGAGCAGACTATCACTCTAGTGTAACGAATTCCCTTCTCCTCTTGCAGAACACAAGTAACCTTCACCAAAAATTAATGAAAATTACTCATCTCATTTTTAGAGGAAAACAATGCTCATTTTTCCTCAAAGGAGAAGGATCAGTAGATCACAATACAACTACAAAGTGGCAACATAACAGTCAAACAATTACACATTAAAACTGTATTTTTTCTTTTCATTTGGCATTGATTTGAAGGTCAAGATATGGCAACGACACTAAAAAAATACTGTGACAATTAGTACCTTTCTACCATTTCCATATTCCGACACTACTTTGGGACTACCCAATTGCAATGTTCATACAACAGTTTGACACAAACAACTGCACATCTTGAGAATAGTTTCATTTTGGTAGGCAGTATTCTGCACGAACAACAGGCTCTACTGCACATTCTTTGTGCCCTCAAAACCATCTCTTATTTAAAAGGGAATTTGGGCTAGCTAAAGGATTTGAACCAAATCCCCTTTTTTGTCTTCTCTATCTACCTATTATAAACCAAAGAGATGGTTGGTTTTTTACTTTTTTTTTTTTTACATATGCATTATATATTTTGTGTATAGAAGGAACACTGAGCTAATTTTCCAATTGTGAAGTGGTAAGTTAGGCTCTGTATACTTAGGTATACATCTATTTGCATAAAGGCATTGCCATTAAAGGTACACACATCTATGTTAGTGCACAAGAACGTTTTTTGTCTTACTGCTTGTGTGCGCCTGTATTTGGCATAGTAGATTAAAAAAATCTCTTATTAAAAAGCTTTGGCCCAGAGAACAAGAAAGGGAATGTTAGAGTGTGCTCTTCTCCAATTAGCAAATCATTGCATATTAAACCCAAAATACCTGGAACAAACCTGCAGCTGCAAACACAACAGGGAAGCAAATGAGATGCTGTAGCTGTAAGCTTAACAAAACAAAGGTTACTCAGAAGTGGCTAAACATAGCTGAAGTAATAAAACGTTACTAACCAAAGAGATCTGACCTTGAGGTTTTCTTACTTAGACAAATAGAAATCCTTTGACCTAAGATCATCTTTGTTCTGCTTATCTTGTTGAATTCCCTCAATGAATATCTTGTATCAATGAGAAGGTTTAGTGAAAGAAACAAGTCATATAGACAAAGCAGCATTTTTTCCAAACTGGCATAGATTTCACATTGAGGGCCCACGGACCCCTAGAACAAGTTGCAGTACTGTAAAATTAGTAGCTTTGTCACATGTAGCATAACATGCTATAGAAGATCCAACAGGCTGTGCTTACCATGCATTGTGTGCACATATACACACTCACACACACAGTGGCTTCCCCAAAAGAAAATCAGTCTTTTTTTTCTTTTCCCCTGTAGAAAAATCCCTCCTCATTTTTTTCAAAAGCAATCAAATCAATCCTTTTAATTTTAAAATGCTGATGTCCACACACAGTCCTTTGAACCCATGCATTCCTATGTTGTTCCTCAACTGTGTTCCCCCCGGAGTTAGGTTGCACTGCTGCTGGAACAGGGAGTGCTCTGTGTGCTGCCAATGCTGTGCGCGGCACTGCTGTTCTCAGAGGCTGGCGGGGACGTAGGGACCTGCTGTCTTCCCGTTGTTTCCCCTGAGGGAAAGGGGAGAGGAGAAGTGAAGTCGGGAAAGGGGAAATTGAAAATGTTAGTTGTCATAGAAAACAATAATCCATTCCTTCCCAGTCTTCCTCTTCTGATGGTTTGTATTTCCACCCAATGAGTAACTCGGGTGACAGATCTCAGAGTACTGTTGAAAACATTACTTGACTCTGGCACCTCAGCATTGCTATCCACATGGGGAAAATACTATTTTCTTAAGCATTTTAAAAGCAGCTGATGGAAACTGCCAAGATAGACACTGTCCATCTTCTGTTGTCAGCTGTCACTCAAATAGGTCCCATTACATGACTCAGACCACTTTAATAGCTTTTCTGTTTCATGAAAAAAGGCTAATGAAACATAGGCTTTAGTTTTAATGCCAGTTTATAGAGCAGCATATTTACTAAAAGTAACCATTATGTGCCATTATGTGAATGCCCAAAAGATCATAATAAGACCACGTAGGAAACTAACTGTGGCATTTTTTAAGTTACAGTGCTCAAATCTGCACCCTTAGCAATATTACAAAACAGTTTCTTCAAAACAGATGGCAAGACCAAGTTTATATAATGTGTGCTGTAGCTGGCCCCTCCCTTGAGCTCATCTCTCAGGATGTGAACCTGTGATCTCAGCACAGTAACATGGACAGACTGCTGCTGCTTGAGCTGCAGACCAACCGTGGCAGCCAGCACCAGCACGGCTGCTTTCCCTGCAAAGAAGCAAGACGGAAATGTTTTGCCGGATCACAGGCAGGAACGACTGGGAAAAAAAGAAATAAAAAAAAAAAAATCAAAGGCTGGTACATCTCCTGCCTCATGAATTTATTGCAATGCAGATTTCCTGCTTCACGTTCCCCTAGGTTATCCGAAACCTGGCGCCTGCTCACGATTTGGTAGAGCTCCCATTCCCCATTGATTGCTTCAGTGACAGGTTGAAAGCTGGAGGCACAGCCTGCATCCAGAGGGTTACAGAGCATGGACGAGCCAGCTTCCTCCCACAGGAGCTGCTCTGCCACATCCCCGTGCCCCTGTGCTGCTGCCCAGCTGCCAGAGCCCCAAGCGCCTCGGGATGTGGCTGCGGAGGATGTGTGCCTTTAACACTGTGTCTCGGGCCAGAAAATGTCCTTCTGCAGGCTGCTCAGTGTTCAGAGGTCTGCTACAAACAAGGGAGGTCTGAGGATTTCTCTCAGTAGAGGTTGTAAGCGCTCTTTGTAAAGCAAACGCTAGCTCTCGCCGCAGCTGTAAGCGCACGAAAGGCCCTGCAACACACAGCTCTTGCCTTGCACCCCACTGGTTTAGGAACGGGGAGGAAAGAAGGGATGGGACAGGACAGAAAAACAACGAACTAAACCACTAAACCACAGTGCCCAGGAGGCCAATGAAATGTTTTTAAAAAAGGGTCAGGATCTCGCTCTTGAATTTAGTACTAAGTCCAACGTTTATTTTTGTGAGCAGGCTGTTTTTCTCAGTGTAAGAAATCACTACGTAGCTCGTCCAGGAGTGGCAGATTTCTGCTCGCATGCAGCAGGTCATCTGCAAACAAAACATGTTTCAGCTCTAACAGTTGAAATTGGAAATTGCATTGGAAACAGCTTTGCAACCCCTTCAGAATAAACTGTATAAAATCAATGCCTGTGTCACGGTGCTGCGAAAGCTTCCATAAGCCTCATTTGGATGCTTCCCCTCCCAGCTTGCTCCCTTCTCCTCCAGCTGTTTGCGTACAAGTCTTCCTTCCTTTCCTACTGCAGGATATATTTATAAAGGCAGCGATAAGCAAAGTCCCTTTCATTAAAACAAAACAAGCGAACACAAACATCAGAAAGCAGCAAGCGGGCAAACCCCTGCCCCGGCAGCGGGAG